TTTTTTTAATTATAAAATTTTATATTAATAATTATTTTTAAAAATAATAATAAATTATTCGAAACGGAGCCTAGTGTTATAAATGATATGAAAAGAAGTAGGATTTGTTGGGCCTTAAAACAATTTAATTGTTTGATCATTGGATGGTGGGCTACTTGTCATTTAATTAAATTTTATTGTCACGTTGCCATTAATGACAAAAAAATTTAAAAAATAAAAATACAGAAAAAAATATGAGCTGGTTGTTGTTATAGAAACTTCTGCACTGACAGCAGATTATAATTAATAATTTTTTGTAATTTTATAAAATAAATACATCTTAACATTTATGATGTTGTTTTATATCCTACATATTTTTATAAATTACTCATAAGTTTTTGTTTTGTCAAATAATTTTAAATACTTTCATTTATTATCTTTAAAATTATATATAGCCAAATCCTTTTTATCTACTAATATTTGAGAATTTCATGTAATTCTAAGATAATAAATTCTCCATCTGTACTGCTGTAAATATTCTTGCATGCAACAATTGCAAATATTTTAATTATAATTCACATAAACTATGGATCAAACCCTAAACTAACAGATCGCATGATCTATAAATTCCAAAATTGTGCAATTGATGCAAGTATTTGATTTGATTTTAGCTTTCTTATAATTGAATTATTTTTTTCTATTGAAAAAATAATTATATTGTTTGATAAATATTTTGTCTCTGCTACTATGAGAGGATAGAACAGTCAAACTAATGCAATATATCATTTTGTTTTTGAATATAGAATTGCATGCCTTTTGAAATTTGTCCGTTATTATCCTTTGTCAGTTGTCTTTCAGAGCTAACTGCTAGCAAGAGATGGCAGCTCAATGATTGGGATAAAGGTCCAACCAAGCAAGAAGTAATTGAGGTTTCATTTGAAATTATTTTCTTACAACTTCTTAAATTAATTGTTAAGTAAAAATAATTAAATTTTTTATACTAAAAGGTTACTTTAACAAGCTGTAAAAAAACCGTCTCAAATGAAACCTGGGGTGCTTGCATGATTTTTTTTAACTAAACATATTCTATTAAACGAAAATGGTATAGTAAAAGACCACCATAGGACCACATCAATAGAATACATCAAAGAGAAGCAGTAGCAAAATTAGCAGATAAATGGATGAAGAACAACGGAGATTATCGGACTCAGACCGACACCGAGTTACCAGGGCTGGGCCATCCATGGAGGACAACAAAATTCAAAACAAGAAGTAGCCAAAACAAGAGATCGAGCTACCCAGGTTGCCAACCAACCCTTGCCATCAACGGCGTATGCAGCAGAACTGTTTCCTCATCGTCCATTCCGAAAAGAATCGAACACAACAACCAAAGCTAGCATCAAAGATCAGAAAAAACCCAACACAAATCTTCTTATTGGATTTCCGCTTACGTTGCGAAACAAATTTATCGAGCAAGCCCGTTTCAAGGATGGAATCATCCTCTCCACTGGCAACCGCCATATCATCATGCAACCAATCACATTGCCACCTAACAAAATTACGATTGGCAAACAAATTCGCATTTGAGATGACCGAAATAGGCACCTCCATGCTTGCATGATTTCTTCTTATATTTGTTATTAGTTCATCAAGGCATAGACAAAATTTATTGCCTTATTCTCGTTTTACATTTGGGTCAAATAAGATGGACACACACATCATATATGCAAGCTGTGAAAGCTCATTTTTTTTATGTTTTCCTTCCAAGTTCGTCCGGACGAAGTTGGATCGTCCGGGACGATCGGTACAGGTTGTAAAGGAATTTCTGGATAGAGAAGTTTGTTCCAGGACGAACTGGGGCTCATCTGGACGAAATTTTTCCAGAGAGCAACTCGTCCATGTACGATTACTGTACACGTCTGAATGAATTTTGTCTAGAGGGCAAATCCTCCCGGGACGATTTGCGATGGTCCGGGACGATCTGGTTGGATATATATGGAAATGAGATATTTTGAAGAGAGAGAAAAGCCCAGGAGAGAGAAAACCGAAGGAAAAAGGAAGAAAAGTGATTTTTGGGCGACTTCTGTCAGTTTTGTCCGTAGCTGCAGTTGAGAAAGTTGACCGACTCGAGGTAAGGCACATTCCGCCTTCTCAATTTTCAGAAACTAGTATTTTGACGACTTTTCTGTTTTGAATTTTATTTTCGTTAGCGTATAATTGATTCCGTTTTGTACTGATAAAGGTTTTACCGCGTTACTTTTGGTATGTTCCTGAGATGATAATTGAGCACGTTTTAAGTTTTAATCGAATAACAATTTATCAAGATGTCTGAATTTACTGTCTCAGTACAATTAAAGTCTTAGAATGATGTTGTGTACTATATGTGGTAATTTTGTAAATTTCTGAATTTATGAATTTTGTGAAAATTCTGTATACTACCATTATGCTGCTTACGATTTTCTGACGTAATCCGATTTTCTGATTTGAATGAATTGTTGTGCTTTGATATCAAAAGGGAGTTATAAGGCGAAATCCCATCTTTTTGGAACGAGTTGAAGGAAAATCCTTTGGGATTCCGTTGTCTGGGTCCGGAAAATCTGATAATAAGTTATATTCTGAAAATTTCGTATATTTGTTCTTTTCTGGTGCTACAAGCACAAAGGGAGACATAAGGGGCCAGAATCCGTTGAGATTATGTCAATGTCAGGGGAGGGAGGCATAAGGGGCCAGAATTCGTAGAGATTCTGTCAGTGTCAGGGTAGGGAGACATAAGGGGCAAGAATCCGTAGAGATTATGTAAGGGTCTGGGAATCTGAAATCTGATATGTGATCTGATGTTGAAATGTGATTTTATCTGATTTGAAATCTGTTCTGTACGATTCTGTTGTTCTGTACGATTCTGTTTGTTCTGTATAATTATGTTGTTCTGTACGATTTCTGTTTATGAAGTGAATTCCGTTTTTCTATATCAATAAATTGACTTCTATTTGAGCAAGTGTCTGTATTCTGATGACTATATGATTTCTATACGATTTCTGTACGGCTATTGGAATATCTGCTTCTGATGTACTTTCTGATGTGAATTTATGGAGATTTGGATTGGTGAGTGTAGCCTTGCTGAGCTGTTAGCTTATTCTTATTTTCTGCGTGGCTTTCAGGTTCTGGGAAAGGGAAGGAAGTCTTGGACTAGAAGTTCTGTGTCTGATCAATGATTAGGTATTTTGTACTTTTGATTTTTGTACAATTATGACTTTTCTCTTATGTTCTTTCTGTCTGTAAGCCATGAACTGTATTGTACATGATTATTTTGATGAAAGAAATATAGATGAACTGTTCTGTATATTTGGAAGTCTATAGCGGCTCTGTGTTTCTGTTTGTTTTTACATTTGGAAGAAAGTTCTAAAGCAAGTCCCAAAACTAGATTCTGGATTTCAAGTTTCAAGTTCCGTCGCGACTCGATGCGAGCGGGATTCGTTCCGGTCGGGTTGGGTCGTGACACAAGCTTCGACAAATCAAGATATTGGAGTCATCAAAAAACTTAAAATGTAAAGTCATTCGATTCATCGGACTTATAATTTCTCCTTATAAAGATAACTTCTTTAAAATAAAAGGTATAATGTTTGAATCAACAACTATACTTAAGCTTCTAGATTTGATATAATTTATAAAAATAATAGAAATAGTTGATAATGCCAAAAACAATATTTTGAGTCACTAATCAATGATGTCATTAGGAGAAACAGCCGTTTTAATGCTATTATGATTTTGAATATATTAATTTTTATAGCAAAATTAATATCATCATCATTGTTTAAAAGCTAATTGGTTGTCTAAAAAATAAATAAATTTAATGTGAATTTCACCATAGTTTTGGTGGTCAATTAAAAAAGATTATGTCATATATTCAATTAAATTTGAGGTATATATTTATATAAAAATTTTAAAATACAGAAACACTAAAAAAAGAATTTACATACATACCATTTTATTTCATGTTATTTACATATCTAATATCTAAAACTTTAAAGTTATATGTTTATCACGTCCATAGAATAAATATGAGTGCATAGAATGAAATATTAAATTTTATAAAATAGTATGAGTGGTAAGAAAGAAATATAATAGTGATATATTTGATATTAAAATTTTATATGAGTGATAGAAATATTATATTAAAATTTTAGACATTAAATATATAAATAACATGAAATAAAATGATATATATGTAAATTACCTTTTTTTTAAAAAAAGCAATGTTATTTGTTTAAAATTTTAAAAATAAAATAGAAACTTAAAGCCATGAATATGAGAAAGCGAGCGAATTAAGCAACACAAATCAAGCACAAAACCATCTGCTCCCTCTCGACATTTTGCTTCTGTGACTGTTACCTTCCTCTGTTTTCCTCTCTTCGGATTGCTGTTCTGCAACAACTCCTACCTCTCTCTCTCTAGCCCTCCTAAGACTCTTTTGTATCCCTGCGATGCTTACACTAGCCGATCTCTCTCCAACCAAAATCCCAGCACTGTAACACTTGCCCGCTCTAATGCTCAAAATGCCATCTTTCTCAACTCTCGCATTCCCCTTCCTCCTTTTCTTCCCACTTCTCGTCTTCTCCAAACCACCTCCACCACCACCACCCCCTCAAGCATCGAACACCACTCCCTCCACTTCAGAAATCTCCGCCCTCATTGCATTCCGCTTCACCCTCCAGGACCCCCTCGGCGCCCTCTCCAACTGGGACCCCTCCTCCCGCAACGCCCCCTGCTCCTGGCGCGGCATCCTCTGCTCCCCTTCCTCCCCTCACGTCACGGAGCTCCGCCTTCCCCGCCTCCGCCTCTCCGGTCCCATCTCCCCACGCCTATCCTCTCTCTCCCATCTCACCCACCTCAGCCTCCGCTCCAATCTCCTCATCGGCACCATCCCCTCCTCCCTCTCCCATCTCCCTCACCTCCGCTCCCTCTTCCTCCAACACAACTTCCTCTCTGGTCATTTTCCTTCCAATCTCTCCTCTCTCCAGGTATTCTCCATCGCCGGCAACTTCCTCTCTGGATCTCTCCCCGCTTCCCTTCCCCCCACACTCCGCTTTCTTGACCTATCCTCCAACTCCTTTTCGGGCTCCGTTCCTTCAAACTTCACTAACTCTGCCCCTCGGCTTCGGTTCCTAGATCTCTCTTACAACCGCCTCGGCGGCACCGTTCCGGCGGGGCTGAGCCAGCTCCAGTTCCTCCTTTACCTCCGCCTCGATGACAATCTTCTCGAAGGAACGATTCCCGCCGTGCTTGCTAATTGCTCCTCCATTCTTTATCTCAGCTTGCAAGGCAACAATCTCCGCGGCATTCTGCCTGCCGCGGTCGCGGGGATACCGACTCTCCAGATCCTTTCCCTTTCACGCAACGGCCTCTCCGGCTCCATTCCTTTCTCCGTCGTATTCAATTCATCCGCGGCCTCTGCCGCGCATCTTCGAATACTGCAGTTGGGGCACAATGCATTCACAGACATGGCGCTGGCGCAAGAAGACAGTACTAATGTTGCAGCGTTTTCCAGTGTTCTTCAAGTACTGGATATCAAAGAGAATGGGATTCATGGCCAAGTCCCGGCATGGATTTTCAATGTGTCGACATTGGCCGTCTTGGACCTTTCTGGCAACTCATTCTCCGGCCCTCTCCCGCCAGAAGTTGGGCGGTTATCGGCGGTGCGTGAGATGAGGATAGGAAATAATTTCTTGACTGGCCCTGTTCCTGCGGAGATCGGAGAATGTGCATCGATTCAAGTGCTTGATTTGGAAGAGAATCGATTTTCCGGCGAGGTGCCGGATGTTTTTGGGACGCTTTCTGGTCTGACGAATCTCTACCTCGGTGGAAACAGATTCTCTGATCTGATTTGGGCGAGCCTTGCCAAACTTTCCCAGCTGGAATCGCTTTCTCTTTTTGGGAATCGTTTTATCGGGGAGTTTCCAGAGGATCTCACAAAGCTGGGGAACCTAACCTTCCTTGACCTGTCCGGCAATGCGCTTACCGGCGAGATACCGGAAACGATCGGGAGGCTACATAAACTTCAGAACTTGAATTTAAGCTGCAACAGCTTCTCCGGCAGTGTTCCGGCGATGATAGGAAGCTTGTCTGATTTGAGGACATTGGACATCAGCGAGCAGAAGAATCTCTCTGGCGAACTGCCAGTAGAGCTCTTTGGGCTACCGACGCTTCAGGTGATTTCTTTGGCCGGCAATTCGTTCACTGGCAATGTCCCCGAAGGATTCAGTAGCCTCTGGAGCTTAGAGCAGCTGAACCTTTCATCAAATTCTTACTTTGGCTCCATACCAGCAACCTACGGCTACCTTCCGTCACTGCAAATTCTCTCGCTTTCCAATAACCATATTTCCGGCACGATTCCGGCCGAGCTCAGCAATTGCTCCAATCTAACCATTCTCGATCTCCGCTCCAACCAACTGTCCGGCGCCATTTACCCTGATCTCTCAAAACTGTCAAATTTGGTGGAACTCGACCTTGGCCGAAACCTTCTTTCCGGCAAAATCCCACCAGATATCTTGCGGTGCTCTTCGTTGGTGATTCTCCGGCTGGACATGAATCATCTCTCCGGCGAAATACCAAGCTCAATTTCAAACCTCTCCGAGCTCCATGTGCTCGACCTTTCAACAAATAATCTAACAGGCATGATCCCAACCAGTCTCTCTCTCATGCCCGCCCTGCTGCATCTGAACCTATCAAACAATAATCTCCAGGGTGAAATCCTTGGAGCACTCAGCTCTCGCTTCGATGACCCGTCCGCATTCGAAGGCAACCCCGGCCTCTGCGGGAAGCCATTAGATGCAGAATGCGCCGGAGAGCGGAGGAAGAGACGGCGCAAGAAGATAGAACGCTTGTTTCTCCTAATCGGCCTGGTTGCGGCCACAGCCGTCGCCCTCGCCCTCCTCTGCTTTTGCTGCGTCTTCGCCATGCTGCGATGCAGAAGGCGCTTTCTCGACCTCCGAAACGGCGTCAAGAAGCGCAGCCCTGGCCGTGGAAGTGGGTCAAGCAGCGGCGGCGAGAACAGCACAAGTCCCAAGCTGATAATGTTCAACAACAAAATCACCTACGCCGAGACGCTGGAAGCCACCAGAAATTTCGACGAAGAGAATGTCTTAAGCCGCGGCCGGCACGGGCTGGTCTTCAAAGCCAGCTACAACGACGGTGCCGTGCTGTCGATCCTCCGCCTGCCTAACTCGTTCAATGAAGCCGCGACAGAAACAGCATTTCGCAAAGAAGCAGAGTCGCTCGCCAAACTGAAGCACCGCAACCTCACGGTTCTCCGAGGATATTACCCCGGCCCTCCGCAGGACGCCCGGCTTCTGGTCTACGACTATATGCCGAACGGCAGCCTAGCGACGCTTCTCCAAGAAGCGTCCCACCAAGACGGGCACGTCCTCAACTGGCCAATGCGCCATCTCATCGCTCTCGGCGTGGCCCGCGGCCTCGCCCACCTCCACACCTCCGGCATTGTCCACGGCGACGTCAAACCTCAAAACGTCCTATTTGACGCTGACTTCGAGCCGCACGTGTCTGACTTCGGGCTTGAGCTGCTGGCGGCAACGCCGGCGACGGGGGCCTCCACGTCAGTAGGTTACGCGGCGCCGGATGAGTTGGATACGAAGGAGGGTGACGTTTATAGCTTCGGGATCGTGGTGTTAGAGCTGCTGACGGGAAAAGGGCCGGGAATGTTCGCCGGAGAAGAGGAAGATATTGTCAAATGGGTGAAACGGCAGCTACAGAATGGGACGGTTGGGGAGTTGCTTGTGCCGGGGTTGCTGGAGCTGGACCCGGAGTCGTCGGAGTGGGAGGAGTTTCTTCTCGGCGTTAAGGTCGGGCTTCTCTGCACGACGCCCGGCGCCGGCGACCGGCCCACCATGGCTGACGTCGTGTTCATGTTAGAGGGATGCAGGGTGGGGCCCGATATACCTTCATCGGCCGGGCCCACCACGTCCCCTCCCTCCCCTTCCCCGGCATGAGGCTCGAGACGACACGATCGTATTACTGGTTTCGTCGTCATTTGATGTTTTATCTGATTGGATAGATTTATTTTTATTCTATTTAATTATTACCATTTTTTGGCATCCACGTCGGAAGGAGGGTCCGGCGAAGCCTGCAGTGGCAGCTTTCACCCGCCAGACAAGGAGGGAAGAAGGAAGACGCCAAGGGCAGGGAAAGTAGCCGTTGGATTTTGGGGGGAAACGGTAGTCCGTCAATGGTGAGCGCGATTCTTGATGAGATGAAGCAGATTTCATCAGAGGTATGATGTCAATAATTTGAGATCAGAAGAAGGAAAGCTGGGATTGTTGTGGGACCTTTTTGATTGTTGATTTAAAAAGAAAAAAATTAACGGTTCTATATTTAAATTTATTTCCTATTTCTAAGCAGATTGCGGTCACTTCTGTGTCCTTGAAAAAAATACAAGTTTTGACTGGAAAATATAGTGTGCATGTGAACTCTGCGCGGCTATCAGCTATGAGAGCTGAGCTTCAGGCAGAGTACAAAAGCATTTTTACGAAAAAATTATTATTATTATTTTTTTTGGTTGGAAAAGGGTGAGAGGGATGATAAATTTATAATAGCCTTTGCTATAATTAAAAATTATAAATTACAATACAGATTAAAAAGCTGTAGAATTAAATACTAGTAAAAATGTCCTAATAAAAAAAATTAAATATTTGAAAATAGAAGTTCATTCAAATTTCAGTATCTTATTCACCGAGGATAAAAAAATTGAAATTATAAAGATAAGAAGAGAATCTTTGAAAAAAATAAGCTATAACAACAGCCACATATATGAGATATATGTCAATAAGATCTTTAAAAAAACACTAGATTGAAACCAATATCAATCAAGTTTTTTTTAGCCCTTGGGTTTGGGTTTCATACCTCCCAAGCTCTTCTTGTTTAGCAAAAGCATCTCCTCTCTCCTCTGTAATTTTGTCTCATTTATAGCCTCTAAGGTCTAAATTTCTTCCTTTGACTCTTTATCGGAGGGACTTTATACCGTTTATTATTTGTCTCCGCTTAACTCAACACTTTTTTTACATAACTATCACAAAGCAATACTTGATCATGAGATGTATCTCGCTAATCTCTCTCCTCTTATGATGATCTATCTCTAGAGTTGCTTCTTCCCACTTATCTCTTCATCCTCAACCTCTCTCCCCTCCACCTTGGGATTGATATGCCATAACATCAAATGCTAAATATAAACCAAGGGATTTTAGGGAGAGAACACCCAAAAATTCACCTATAACAAGAAAGATATATTATGCAACCTGCAAAAAAATAACAAAAGCTTCTCCTGCTCAGCCGCTCTTATCTCGAAGAAACTAAAGAGGCCACAAATATTACCAAAGAATTAGAAGCTAGCCAAAAGGAATTGGAGTTCTTTATGGTCGGCTATGACATTGGTAAACATCCCTTTTTTTAATCACTTCTCGAAGTAGTTAAACGCAGTGGAAGCTCAAAGATAACATTTAACTCCTTACTCTTGCCAAAAACTTTTTCCTCTTTAAATTTTTATGGAGAAGACTTTTAAAGGATTTGGATCAAGTATAATGATTAGCACATTATTTTTTCTCCAATCATCTTATCCTCACAGCTCATCCATGGGGAGAGAAAAGTATCTAATGCTTTTAACTTTATTGTGACTTGTGTTTATGCATCAAATGAGCTTGGGAAAGAAAGATCCTCTAGAATTCCTTATACAACATATCCTTCCCATCTTTTTAGGTGGTTGGTTATGAGCGACTTTAATAGTTTCATTTCCATTCTTGATAATTTTGTGGAAAATCCTATCCCTCATAGAAAATTGATGGACTTTGCTTAATAGCCCTATATTGTGTAAGCTAGACAAACTTTTTGTAACTCCTTACAATTGGAGTTATTCCCCTCCTCTTCCTTTGAGATCCTTGCTCCTATGTCCCTAGATCACTCTCATTTATCTAAATCTTAAAAAATTTGTTCTATTATGTGACGCCCCAGAATTAAATTTTGAAGAATTATTTATTTTATCTTCTTAAATAATTAATCAAAACTTATATAAATCATCATAGTAATAAATCTATATCCATTGAAAGCAACTAATAATTATATACCTCAAAATATTTAACTATATTCCTAAAATCAATATACAATAGCTAGGAGATTAATACAATTACTGCTATATCATAAACATATGACTACAAAATAATAAAGAAAAATATAAACAAAATCAAAAGAAAAATTGAGAATTTCTATCAATCTCACCCCAATTGGCCATATGTTTATAACTTTGCCTAGCTTGCTCCCCTATGAATCTAGATCCCGTCCCTTGTCGTTGTAGTGGACAATCAACCATTTGGTGTCCTCGCTATCCACATCTAAAGCATTACCATGTAACTTTTTTTATATACAATAGATATGTATTTTATAAATATTTTGACTATAATATTATCAATTTCTACCAAATGAAACAAAAGTTATAATTTTTTGAAACTATAAGATATTATATAGATTTTACTGTATTTTATAAATATTGCATATTAGATTTTATTTCATATAAATAAATGTAGCATTGATAATAAAAGCAAGAAATGCTAGTTGTTAACACTATAAAATGAATTGACTATTAAAATATAATACCCTATGCATGAGGGTAGCCCGATATGATTTCCTTTAAAGATGGTTTGTAGTGTGATCCCTATTGTAGTCTGTAACTGATGATTGATTACGCCAACGGATAAAGGGTGGTGACTCTTAATAATTATTGAAAGCCACCCAAATATTAATGATAAAGATAATAATAAAAATATGATGATGATGAAATGAATATAGATAAAAGGATTAAAATATCATATTAAAGTTAAATGTCATATCTTGATAAATCATATATTGATGCATACATATATTGATAGCACTGATAGCGTTGACATGTATATTGACAGCATATAGTATTGGATGAATAGATAATACATGAATATATGATGCATATAAATAGATGAGATAGATTTTTTTAGTGATTTATGAATGATTTCTGCATAATTGTTTTACTAATTGATTGAATTTTATATCTACTATTAATTCCTAGATTCATTATAATATTCCCTGCTTTTATTATAGATCATTCTTAGTTTTATTGATGATAATTGACCATTGATTATATTGAATGCTATTGATTTCATTGATCGAGCATTTCATATTGATTCTTTTATCCTTGCATTAAAAGTTTTTGTGAGTTTGAGTTATTGCTCAGCTTTTTAGCCATCATGGAATCTAGAGAATATAGTGAAGGATTTGTGAGCAAGACAGATGGAAGAAGAGTGATTGAAAGTCAAATAGAACCTACACAATTTGCTACACTAACACTACCACTTGTATAACCCAAAGTTTATAGTTTGATACGGAATGATGATAGGAATGCACCTAGAGGATCCATTGATAGAATTTTCAATCCTTGAATTGATTGATTAAAAATTTGCATAGTATATTATGCTTGAATGATATGCGGGATATGATTGTTTTGAATGAACTTATGATTGATTGTATGTATTATTTTGGAGATTTTGAATGGTTTTTAATTGATTTATTAGTTTTGATATTTGTTTTGAATCATTTTGATTTGTTTTAACAGATTTATGAATTCAATTTATTTTATTTGTGGAAATGTTGAGAGCAATATTTTTTACGGCAATGAGATTATAATTGCTTGTAGTTTGACTCAAATAAATAATTTTTTAAGAGTTATTATAAGCACAAATCTCAAATTGTCTTCGCCATAAGATTGATATTATTATGCTTCAATTATAATAACTTTTTTGTAATTTTTTTAGCATTGGAGCAAATCCTGAAGAAATTAACACTTGTCGATACAAGAATTTTGGAACCATTACACGTCTATTTTGCAAATCAATTTCCCAAGTATTTTTGAAATAAAATAAGCTATTTATATATATATTTTAATAGTTTTAAAGCCCCAAAAATTTTTATATAAATTTTATAATAAAAACTGATTAAAGTATTTAATTGTCTTAGTATTATATTGTTTTATTCCAAATATCTTTCTCCACTCACATGTTTTATTAAAAAAACCATTTCATTCCTCAAGCCAGAGAAATAGAAACAAGAGGAGAAAACATGAAAGGAAAAGATAAGAGAGAAAAAGAAAGATAAAGTTTGGAGGATATAGAATGAATTTTGTTATTCAGCCCAGTTAAAAAATATGTATGTCTCGCTATAAGAAATCATTATCTTATTTCTAATTTCAATAATTTGATGATTTAGATATTTTTTCGTTCAAATTTATATATTTGTTATCAAAAAATGAGAATAATTCTGTATTGGTAAAACTTTCAGTGCATAAATTTTTATACGTGATAAATCTTGTCAATATGATCATTTTGACATGAATATATTGCATTTTCATCACCAGTTAAATTAGAAGATATGATTTTTTTTGAAGTAAATGCGTAGTAGATAATTTTGATAGTTTTCATGTATTTTATGAATTATTGTATTTCATACATAACATTGACAATAATATAATATTTGCACGTAAGGGAGGCTAGATGGAAGGTTTGTTAATATGAAAGATCAAGATTGATACCAATTAGTTGACAGTTGGGCCTAATTAAGGATGGTACCCAACTGGGAGATAATAAAGCAAGGGGATAGAACAGTGATGTAGTACAAAGCCAAATTTATTACAGTGGGAAGGTACGCACCACAATTGATCAGTACGGTAAAGGAGAAATGTTACAGATTCCTGAGAGGAGAACGAGATGAATTAAGGCATCCATTAGTACCACTGAGAATTCAAGAGTTTTCAGAGTTGGTTGAGAGAGCAAGACTGATGGAGAATGACTTGGCTATTCCATTATTCATATAGGATATGAGCAAGAAGAGATCGAGAGATGATATAACTAGAAGAGAGAATAGTGAGAAAAGGGGTAGATTTCAGACAACAAGAGAGGATCTACATTTGAGTAAAGCGTGGTTGTACTAGAGTGTATCCGATGTGGTAAGAGACATAGTGGATCATGTTTTTTTATGACTTGACAGTGCTTTATGTTAGGTATTAGTCCTAGATTTATGTTTGCTTTTGTGTAGCTATTTGTATAGCTCGTAGGAGCCTATTAATAGGCTATAGCTTGTATTAGGAAAAGAAGCCAAGGAATAAGAATTGCATATTTTGGCTCACCGCCTCCCTCTCCTCTCTCTCTCCTCCTCCTCTTGCAAGATCCATGAGGAAGTGCTTCTTCCCCAAGTGAAGGGATCTCACATCTTGTATCAGAGCCACGGCGGTGGCGATCTCGAGGTGGAGGAGAGAAGGTTTCTTGTCTGAAGAAACTGAAGGAGGCGATCTTGGTGGGGTTCGCCGAATTCGGCCAAGGGAGCGGCTGACGGACGGCGGGATGGTTCGTCTATGCTGAGTTCGCGGCTGGCATCGCATTGGCCTCTTGATCAGCGGAGGCAGACTGGGCCGCTGGTCTGCACGCAAGAAGCTGAAGGCTGTGGCGTCGGGGCATAGGCAGAGCGCCGGACTCTTGCGGCTCGGAGACAAGAAAGCGGCAACTAGGAGATCTAGGGAGCTCTTGGTTCATGCAGGCTACAGGAAATCAGATGGCTCTCAGTTCAGCATGTGATGGTTCTCAGTCCAAGAGAAACTTTTGTTGCTGTTGATGAAGAAAATAGCAAGGCGAAGTAGCAAAGCAGGGCTTGTGATTAATTCTTGGAAGGTTCGTTATATTGTAGCAGAAGATCGGTTCAGATCTTTAAAGAAGATATCAGATCTTCTTTGTGGTGGAGTTTTGGATTTCCGGTGGAGTCCGGGGGACACTGAGGTAGTGTCGGCTGCTCTTGGAGAGCAGGGTTGAGAGTGTGGGGCGCTTGGAGATGCATGGTCGTGCGGTGCACGAGGAGTCCGCATAGGAGCGCAGGGCACTGGTGAAAGACACGCAGGGTACTGGCCGGATGCGGCAGTGCGGAGCGTGATCTTGTGAAGAGCAGAGCGCTGGTGAGGGCGCAGGGCTCACTGCATGGGTGGATACGTGCAGGATGTGGTCGGTGACAGACCACATGAGTGCAAGGCGCGGGCTTGTGGCGTTTGGAAGCGGGCTGGAGGCGCAGGGCGCGGGCACTGAGGCGCAGGGTGCAGGTAGAGGCACAGGGCGCGAAAGCCGGGCTAGGGGTGCTCGGGGATTGGCTGCGTTGCACGCAGTGCGACAGGAGATCTGTCAGGAGGTGGAGCTCGAATGTCAGTGGACGCTTTTGGCGGAGGAGACCGACATGATCATTCTTTGGCTGTTCTTTCAAGAACAGTGGTTATCTTTTGTTTTGTAAAATCTAGACTAAGGGGGTGATTGTTAGGTATTAGTCCTAGATTTAAGTTTGCTTTTGTGTAGCTATTTGTATAGCTTGTAGGAGCCTATTAATAGGCTATAGCTTGTATTAGGAAAAGAAGCCAAGGAATAAAGAATTGCATATTTTGGATCACGCCTCCTCCCTCCTCCTCTCTCCCTCCTCCTCCTCCTTCAAGATCCATGAGGAAGTGCTTCTTCCTCAAGTGAAGGGATCTCACACTTTAGTTATGGAAAACGAGGACACTAGATGGTTTATTGTCTACTACAATGATAAGAGGCAGGATCTAGACTCAGAGGAGAGCAAGCCAGTAAAGATATAGCTAGAGGACCAATTGCAGTGAGATTGACATAGATCATCATATTTTCTTTTGATTTTATTTATATTTTCCTTTATTATTTAGTTAGAAGTTTGTAATAGAATAATAATTGTATCGATTTACTAATTATTGTATATTGATTTTGGGAATATAGTGAAAT